TTTCCCACTGGTTGTAAAATTTCACCATGTATCTGTCCCATTATGTTCCTAATGACTCTTATACTTTGGGGCTGGTTTGGTTTCATATGCAGCTTTTTATTGCAGTTTCTTTTGCCCTGTTACTGTAGTCCAACTTTTTTTGACTATTAACATCCTTTTAATATTATTTACCTTTTCTATCCTACTTTCCTTTAGTTTTTACACTAGTTTTTCTTTTACTCGATTGACTGGTTCTTTGGATATATAAGGAAAAACAATGAGGTAAAGATACTCATTTCATCCTTATCTGAAGTCATCTTGTTGCCCCCTAAACTGTCTGTATTCCATATTTTGTTGAATGACATCAATATGGACTCATTCACATTTGCCAACTCTTGAGAGCCATCCTACTCTCTCTCTCGTTTATCTTTCTTCTCCCACACTGATCCATCTTTCAACTTTTGTCTTCATTAGTTCTCATTTGGAATATTTCAGAAGTTTTGTGCTTTAATTTTCTTTCTCTAATTCCTTCCCCCTCTAGCCAGTCCCTCAGTGTTATCACCAGTAATTAAAAGGATAATCTTAACCATTTTACTTTTCTGCTTACAGTCTTAAGTCCCTTCTCACCACCTGTAGGTTATACAGTTCAAGTTCTTTGTACAGCAGAATAGGTCCCTTCTGTGGGACTTCTTTTTTTGCCTGGTGTCCCCCACGGCAAATACACTATATGCTGCAGCTCTGCTGATCTTGCTGGTTCTTGAACGTGTCATGACTTCTGATGTCTTTTGCATATGCTATGTCTTCTTCCTGGAATGCTGTTTCTCATTTTGGCAACTGCCTAAATAAAAGTATTGTTCTTCTGGTAAGCTTTTATTGACAACTCTTTTAACATTTACTAGCTTGATTGGGTATCACTTCCTTGTACCCAAGATGTATGAACCTAGCACCCTGTTCATACATCTCATGCTACATTTATCACTCCTTACTTGGGATGCAATTTTCATAGGGGCAATTGTTTTGCCTTGCTTATTTTTGTATTATGTCAAGGATGATGCTTAGCTCCTAATAGGTACTTAGTACATTTTTAAAAATTGAATAATATCTTGGCAATTTATAAAACACTTCTCTGTTTTTCTACTTCCTGTGCCTCATTCCCTTTCTATATTAAATTTGTAATGAGTTTTTAATTTAAATGTTAAATAACATGGAAATTTTAGTATTTATAGATAAAATTTATTTTGCATTTTAAATATTTGAACAAATGAAAATATCTGCAAAATTCACTTAAAAATTCTAAACTTTAATCAGATTCTCATCTTAACAAATGTCTCAGTTTTGTTTTTGAAGCCTTTGTATTTGAAGCTTTATCCTTGAAGTAACATGACCTGATCTATTTTTTTACTGTTAAGTAATGTGAGAGTTACCTATTAGCTTTGACAAGCAGCAGCATGTACATAATCTTAGTACTAAAATTCTTGTTGAGCTAAATAATTTTGTTAACTTTTTATTTCACCATAAACTGGACACTGGATTCTTATTTATAAGTTTAATGCTTACTTAGGTTAATGACAATTGTGAGACCTATCTAAATTATATTATACAGAATAGACAACACCACTTACTGCTGTATCCATCTTGATAGTGTGCAAACTGCTGATGTTCAGTCCATATGAGTTCTTCATAATTTATATACAAAGTGTGATAAGTACTACAGCACAGTGAAACATGCTCTAGGAGCACCTAGGAGGGAGAAACAACACTGGGCAAGCTAGGAAAGGCTTCTACAGAAAAGAAGGTACTTTTGAATTAGCTTTTAAAAATCCTCTTGTTTCTTATTTGTGTTTAGGCAACTTTATTGAGATATAACATATGCAGAAATATGCATATTTTTATATTTATAGTTTGATGTTTTGATAAATGTATTTGTCTACCATTACTCCCCCCCAAATTTTCCATCACCTCACTCCAGGAAGCTGTCCTAGTCCCTTTCAAGTCAACCTCTGTTTCTACCCTAGTAACTACTGATCTGATTTCTATCACTATAGACTAGTTTTGCTGAATCTAGAACTTCATATAATAGAGTCATGAAGTAGCTACTCTATTGAGTCTGGCTTCTTTTGTTCAGGCTAATTTTAAAAATTCATCCTTGTTGAATGTAAGAATAGTTACTTTTTTTGTATTTCTAAGTAGTATTCCATTGTATAAATATACCAGCGTTTGTATATCATCCTATTAATGGATATTTGTGTTGTTTCTAATTTTTAGCTGTTAGGAATAAAGTTTCTGTGAATTTGCATGTGTAGTTGTTGAGTGGATATGTTTTTATTTCTCTTGGATAAATACCTAAAAGTGAAATTGCTGATTCATAGAGTTAAATGTACATTTAACTTTATAAGAAACTGCCAAACTGTTCCAAAGTGATTAAACTAGTGGTGTACGTGAGTTCCAGTTGCTCGTCACCAACACTTAGTATTGTTAGTCTTTTAAATGTCAGCCTTTCTAGTGAGTGTGGAGTTGGTATATTACTATGGTTTTATTTATTTTATATTTTATTTTTTGTTACTATAGTTCCAATTTCCTTGATGATTGATGAAATTGAGCATCTTTTTATCTGCCAACTGGCTATTCATGTATCTTCTTTTGTGAAGTATCCAGTGTAAAGTCTTTTATTTGTTAAAAAAATTAAAATTTACCTACATTACATTTACACTTTTTGGACCAGTATTGCTTGGGGTACTAGCCCTCCCTGATTGTTTGCCATGGAGAGCACTCTTATTTTTTTTTTTTTTTTAAGATTTTATTTATTTATTTGACAGAGAGCAAGCATAAGTAGGCAGGGAGGCAGGCAGAGGGAGAGGGAGAAGTAGGCTCCCTGACATGGGGCCCGATCCCAGGACCCTGGGATCATGACCTGAGCCGAAAGCAGCAACAACCAACTGAGCCACCCAGGTGCTCTGAGAGCATTCTTACTTTTGACAACATTCCTGGGCATATAGATTTTTCCATTACTTCAAATAAAGTCAGCATCCTCTTGCAGGGCCATGTAGCTGCCAATCTTTAGGGTCGGCCACGTCTGCTTGGGGTAGCGCTTTTGTGCCATAAACCTAGCAGCGTGGGTGGTGGTGTAAGTACCTTATGGCTGAATTATCACATTTCCTCCTGAGAGTTCATTTTCTTTAGTAAATGCTTCTCCTTTTGTTGTTTATCCTTTGATCATGTTTCAGAGACTTTAATTATTTTTGACCATCTTTTCCTATTTTTACTTTGGTTTAGAGGAGAGCCTCTGTGTATTCCTTTTCATTTTCCTCTAGTCCTTTTCTACAGTGTAGCCAGTTTCTTCTTCCTCACCTGCCCTACTCCCCCAAACAAAGCCAGTCATTTCACCTCCAATCTTAAAAGTCTTCAAGTGTCTTTATGTTGCTCTCAGAATAAAAACCCAAAATTTTAACATGGTCTAAAATTGTCTGCCTTGCTTTTTTATATGGTTTTATCTTGCATAAATCTAACCATTCCCCTGCTCATTCTGGACAATATCCAGTCATTATCCTCTTTAGGGAACACTTTGCCTTCTCTTCTTTATAGATCAAGGCTCTGACCTGTGGCATAAGAATTGACTTTGGAATCTGGGGATGTAGGTTTGAATTTCCACACTTATTAGCTCTGCGACTTTGAGCAATATATTGAGTTGTTTCATCTGAAATACGTACGGTGATGGACAAATAATATTTCATGACACTGCCTAAGTGAGATAGTATATGTAAAACCATTAGCACAATGCCTTGTGTCTAGGAAGTATGTTATTCCCTACCTGCTATTCTCTTCCCGTAATTGCACTGAGTAAGCGGTTTATATGAAATATGTATTTGTACAAGTGGAATCATTTTAGTGTTACCATTTCACCAATTTTTTGAGTAAAATTTCTACTTGAATTCCAATTGTGTGTGAACACATTTATTGAGTACATAATATCTAGTTCATAGCACCCTCATTACCTTTAAAAAATATGTCTTTAGGGCACCTGGTTGGCTCAGTTGGTTAAGCATCCAACTCTTGATCTCAGCTCAGGTCTTGATCTCACAGTTGTGAGTTCGAGTCCTGCATTAGGATCCACACTGGGCATGGAACCTACTCCATGAAATATAACACACTAAGAGTTTTACCTTTAACAAGGAAAATTTTGTTTTTACCTTTGGTATGAGACTATTAATAATAGACTTCCATTTTTTTTATTTTGAAAAAAATTTAAAACTTGTAGAATAGAAGCAAAATGGTACTATGAAATCCTGTATACCCTAACTGCAGTATAGTGATCATATTTAGGAAATTAACATCAGTACACAGCTGTTATGTAATTTGACAGTCCCTCAGATTTTGCCAGGTTTCCCAATAATGTCTTCATAGCATTTCCCTCAACTGATCAGTCCAGAATCATGCACTCTATAGTTGCCATGTCTCTTTATTCCTCTCTAATCTAGATTGTTTCTCGGCCATCCTTTGACTTTTGTGACACTGATATTTTCAAAGACCAGTTTTCTAGAATGTTCCTCAATTTGGTTTTCTCCCTTTCCTCATAATTTTGGTCAGGTTATACATTTTTTGGCAGGAATACTGTGTAAGAGAATCTGCATGAAAGATGGTTTGTCCTTGCCAGTGTACCACATACATGACACCAGTTTGGTCCCTCTCTCATTGATGATGTTAACTTAGATGATGTGCTTATACCATTTTCCCTTTTGTCCTTAATAAATAATCTGTGGGGAGATACATTGAGACAGTGTAAATACCCTTTTTCTCAGTAAACTTTGATCATATAGTTTTTTGCTTGCTTGATGATGCTTGCCTAAATCAGTTATTACCATGGTGGTGACAAAAAGGTAGATTATTAAAATTTTGATAATTTCTAAGGGTTTCAGTTTTAATGTTCCTGAGAGAGCTTTCTTTGTCTAATCGTGATAATTATAAAATACTTGGCTGTTAACCTGCTTTTATATCATGGGTTTATTTGTTTATATGGTTTTTAGGTTCATGTATTGGACAGACTGGGGAGAAGTACCAAAGATAGAACGTGCTGGAATGGATGGTTCAAGTCGCTTCATTATAATAAACACTGAAATTTACTGGCCAAATGGACTGACTTTGGATTATGAGGAACAGAAGCTTTATTGGGCAGATGCAAAACTCAATTTCATCCACAAATCAAATCTGGATGGAACAAATAGGTAAGCTGGCCTCATAAATTTAATTTTAAATTTTAAGTAAACATCATGGTGTTTTGATATCATAATCAAATTATAAAGCCTAACTTTATTAAGAAGAAATTAATGTATTTTTGGCTGTCAAAGAGGAAGAAGAGTAGACTTTTAGTTTGCTCTTAAAAGAAGGTAACTACATTTTCATCAATCTTGGTAGGATTTAGAATTTACAGACTGTATTTTCTTTTTCTTTACTCTGAGCTAATTTAGTTCTTTAGTGATTCTTAAACAGGGATTGTATTTCTGCTTTCTCCCAGAGTGTGGGAAATTTTGGTTAACGAGGAATGGGAGTGCTGCTGACATTTTAACTTTAGTTTATGGGGGGCCAGAGATGCTAAACATCCTGCAGTGTGCTGGACACCTAGCACAACAGTCATCCTACTCAGAATTATCCATAGAGCCCCCAGGTGCTGCTCAGGGAAGCTCATTTGATACATCTCTAAACTAGGAGAGGGCCAGATAGTAAATATTTTAGGCTTTGTGGGTCATAAGATCTCTGTTGCAACTACTTAACCTCTGCTGTTGAGGTGTGAAAGCAGCTGCAGATAATACATAAGGGAATGGGCACAGCTGTGTTTTAGTAAAACTTTATTTACAAAACATATGATAAGGGTGCCTGGGTGGCTCAGTTGGTTAAGCAACTGCCTTCGGCTCAGGTCATGATCCTGGAGTCCTGGGATCGAGTCCCATATCGGGCTCCCTGCTCAGCGGGGAGTCTGCTTCTCCCTCTGACCCTCTTCCCTCTTGTGCTCTGTCTCTCATTCTCTCTCTCTCAAATAAATAAAATCTTTAAAAAAAACAAAAAAAACAGAACATATAAGTCAGTGGGCCATAGTTTGCTGACCCAGGACTAGGAAAAAATCTGAATGCATCATGCTGCACACCAATATTCAAGGAAGACAAAGTTATAATACATAAACATGGATTTTCTAGTCAGATCATGTTCAGAATTTTAAGGGCACTATCTTTTTATGTTCTTGTGTTTGATTATTTTGGTTTCTGGTGGTCTCACTCTTAAGGTCTCAGCAGAAACAGAGTCTTAGGTAGTTGAAGGAATTTTTTTCAAGTGTAAACATTTGTGAGTTATCTGAACTGTGAATCAGGAAGCATTTAGAAGTATTGAAAATCATGAAAGATTTAAAGCATTTATTAAAGGTTTTGTAATTATGGAGTTGGAGTATTTTTTTGCCTTGTTTTAAGAAAGAATGAAAAGACAACAAGGTGGTTTAAAAATAAGTAGAAATAAGTCAAGAGAAGTAATAAATATATGATGAATATAAAACATAATTGCTTTGAACTTCAAATCTGGCTTTAAGAGGGATGGTAGGAAGTAAATCTGGCCATATCATTTTTTTTTTTTTACTTCCTTGGAAGACTCACACAAAAACTAATGAAACTAGATAGCAAATCCAAAAACATACCATAAAACTAACCTCAGGCATCCAGAAATAAAAGCAGAGAAGAGCAGACCACTAACAGCCTCAAGACCTCCCTAGTATTACTGTTTATGCAAAAGTATGCAGAGAGAGTTGAGTAGGGTGTTTCATAGAACTTAAAAGCAGGAGACCTCCAAAATAACCTCAACTATTTACTAGACAATGTGGTGGACTATATTAAGAGCAGCAGCTGAAATGAGGTTGAGGGGGGGGTTTGCCCACTCCAGTATCAACCAAGTACAGTGTGTTCATTGTAAAGACAGGACAGAACAATTTGGCTCCAAATAATTCTTGAAATGAAGCTGCTAGAGATCTCTACCAGCACAGGGTTCTACACTGAATGGAAACAAAATTGAATACAATAGTAGCATCAAAATTGAGCAGAACAGGGAAAATTAGAGGGTCAAAAGAGGAAGAAAAGAGAAGGTTCAAATAACAGCTGGGAGTTCCCAGAAAGGAAACTACCATATTGTTTAACATTACATGAAAACAACAGAAGAGTGAATTTTGTAAAGTTAGAAAAACTACCTTGAACACCACCTTCTTCTAAAAATTCAGGAAAACTAATTATCCATAAACATGAGACACACAGCAGTATCAAGGTAAAAATCCCATTTAGGGTTATTATAAAAAACATATTTATAACAGTATTTTAAGCTAATAACAACTTTGAATTCATCTTAAGCTTTATAGTTTTTACTCTCCCTCCCACATTTAACGTTTCTGATGTCACAATTTACATCTTTTTACCTTGTTTCTCCATTAATACATTATAGTTATTTTTACGATAATTTTTTAACCTTCATACTAGATTTGTAAGTGATTTACCCACCAGGATTACAAAATTAGAGTATTCTGAATTTAACCATATATTTAGCTTTTTATGAATAAGATTTATACTTTCATGTTTTCTTGTTAGTAATTAGCACTCTTTTGTTTCAGCTTGGGGAAGTCCCCTTAACAATTCTTGTGAGGCTGATCTAATAGTGATTAACTTCTTCAGCTTTTCCTTGTCTCAAATTCTTTATTTCTCTTTCCATTCAGACAACTTTGCTGGGTAGAGTATTCTTGGTTGGCAATTGCCACCCTCCCACCTTGGCACTTTGAGTATATTTTGCCACCCCCTTCTGGCCTCCAAAGTTCCTGCTGAAAAATATACTGATGGTCTTACAGGGATTCAGTTGTGTGAAACAAGTTCTATTTCTCCTGTTGCTTTTAAGATACTCTTTTTGTCTTTAACTTTTGATATTTGAATTACAATGTGTCTTGATATGGGTTTTTTTGGGATTCATCTTACTTGAAAGTTGGTGGGTTATATCTGGATGTCTATTTCTTTCCCCAGGTTAGGGCATTTTTGGGACATTTTCTTTCAGTAAACTTTCAGTCCCTTTTGCTTTATCCTCTCTTTCTGGGACCCTTATCATGTGAGTGGTGGTCTACTTGATGGTCTCCTAAAAGTCCCTTAAGCTATCTTCATATTTATTCTTTTTTCTTTCTGCTTCTTTGGATGACTTCTATTGCCCAGTCTTTGAATTTGCTGATACTTTCTTCCACTTGATCTAGTCTGTTGAACCTCTCTATTGAATTTTTCAGTTTGGTTTGTGTTCTTTCCCTCTTTGATTTTTTTTGGTGCTTTCCTATATTTTCTGTCTCTTTGTTGAAATTCTCACTTTGTTCATGCATTGTTCTGCTCACCTTGGTGAGCATCTTTATGACTGTTATTTTGAACTCTTTATCAAGTAAATCATGTATCTTTGTTTCATTAAAGTCTGTTTCTGAAGTTTTATCTTGCTCTTTTGTTTGGAACATGTTCTTTTGTTTCTTCATTTTTCTTAACTCTTTTTGTTGGTTTCTACGCATTAGATAAAAAAGCTCCTTTCCCAGTCTTGATGGAATGGTATTCTGTAGGAGATGAACCTTATTAACAGCCTGGCCTGAGTTCTTGGTTGTCTCTCAGATTTTTGTGATTGCCCAAACTGCTTTCTTTATTCTTAGTGGCTCCCAGTAGTTGAGGTTGTGCCAAGATTTGTCAAGTGTTCCAAAGGGGAGGATCACAGCACCTAGATGTAGGTTGATTGGAAGTTGGATCCCCCACGCAGTAACTGGGAAAGTATATAGTTAGGGGCCTTCCAGGGAGAGACTCGGAGATAGACATTTTTGCCTGCTCCCTCTGCACTGGACCCAGGTATACAGCCACTGAAGAGGTTGCTATTTTACCATTTTTAAGAACTACTTCATTGCTATAGTCCTGTGCAAATTATGAATGCAAGCCCCATTGGCTTTCAGAGACAGGTGATCCAGGGCCCTTCCTTTGGGTGGCATTTGTAAAAGCTGGGGCATCAGATGTGTGTATAAGCTGATTGTGTGGAGATACTGGAGATTTGGATTAGGCTAGAGAGAAAAGGCGGAGGTGGTATCTGCAGACTTCCCTGGTCTCCTAGGAGGGTTGCTGTCAGCCCCTGGATGTCTGCTAAATTAGAAGCCTGACCTCAGGCTTCTTTCAGGGAGATAGATTTCCTACAGGGGAATATTGGGACATGGGTGTTTCTGATTGTTTCCTCTGCACTGAACCCTGCTGGGATCAATGTCTAATGTAAGCCTCCTGGTAATAACCAAAAGCAAAAAATCTGTATATATAGAAAAGATTAATAGGAATCTAAGCATACTACTACAGAAATTCAAATCACAGAGCAAGAGAAGAACAAAGGGACAAATAGAATACAAAACAGCCAGAAAACAATGAACTAAATGATATTAGGTCTATACCTATCAATAACTATATAGAAATGGACTGAATTCTTTTATTTGTTTATTTGACAGAGAGAGACACAGTGAGAGAGGGAACGCAAGCAGGGGGAGTGGGAGAGGGAGAAGCAGGCTTCTTGCCGAGCAGGGAGCCTGATGTGGGGCTTGATCCCAGGACCCTGGGAACATGACCTGAGCCAAAGGCAGATGCTTAATGAGTGAGCCACCCAGGCACCCCTGGACTAAATTCTTTAATGGAAATATGTTGAGTGGCTGAATGGGTAAAAATACAAGCCCATTTTAAGAGAACACACACTCTGAAAGTGAGGGGGTGAAAAGATATGTTACATGTGAATGGAAACCAAAAGGAAGCAGGGATAGCTATACTGCTATCACACAGAATAGACTTTAAGCCACAGACTGTAACAAGAGAAAAGAAGGTTTATTATATAATGATAATGGGGGTAGTCCAGTAAGAGGATATAACTTTGTAAATATTCATACACTCAACATCATAGTGCCTAAATGACGTAAAGCCAATATTAACAGATTTGAAGAGAGAAATAGAAAGCAATGCAACAATAGTAGGGGGCTTCAATATCCCACTTTAAACAACAAGTAGATCACCTAGGCAGAAAATCAATAAGGAAACATTGGCCTTATTACCTGATAGGCCTGGTGGACTTAAGGAACATTTAAAAACACTCCATCCAATAGTACCAGAATACACATTTTTCTCAAGTGCATATGAAGCATTCTCCAATATAGGTCATATGTTGGTCCACA